TTCAGGTGAATTAACTAACCACCCTTCTATTGAACCAGATAGGTTTGGTAAAAGATCAATGAACTAATGTGTGAATGACTGTCTAAAATCACAGACCTCAGAATAATCCTCACTGCCTAACCATTTCGCACCGCTGAGTATCTTGAAATAGTTTCCATAATAGACATAGTTATCAAATGACTAAAAGTATCAGTCACATATTACGTCCAGTGTTTGTATTCTAGACCCTAAAAATCAGATAGGTTTTTAAATTTCCTTACTATCATTCACCGTGTATAACCTTTCTTTATCTTATGTTAGTGAGGGAAGGTGGTTTAATCTCAGTATCATTGTTTCAACTGAACAACAACTGTCAAAAGAGAGTTCGAGTCAGCGTTTGACACTTGATATGGTTGACCGAAATACCACTGAAAATATATTCCAGTCTATGTTTTGTAACACACATCAAATCTGGAGCATTTCACCTTATAAAGTGTTGTCTGAGAATGATGTGACATGGAGATCTAGTGTAGTTACCCACTCTCTTTTCATAAGCCATATATAGTTCAGTGATCCTAGTTTAGTAATACGGTTCATTCCTGACTTTCATATTTCTTCAGGTTACGACTAAAGGCCAACCCTCAGCTGACGTCTAAAAATATTTAATGTGAATAATGACTTGTGAGTGAGATACGTAAGAAAAGTCCAGTTACCTGAGTCAAAATTCCTACTATGTACTGATAAAAGTATATTGAGCAAAAGCGCAGCAAACTATTAAACTCCTCAGGAGAATCCTTATGTTCATAGTGACTGCAATCAGTTGTAGTATGAGTTCTTTACTATTAAGAAAGCTGCATTTTTGAATTTCTAAGATGTCACTTTCAAGTAATGCAATTAATAATTCTCATTGAAATAAAACATGCCTAAATTTCTGGGATGCAGTTATAGACCTTTTCTGGTACTGAGGTCACGTGTATGCTTCCAATGATGCTCCTGAAACTTACATAATAGTATCATTCTTTTCAAGGTAAGGAGTAGTATAATTCACGCAAATGGTTTGTTTCTATCATCATCTGGATGAAGCTGTTTTAGTACGCTAAATGAAACTGAAAACCAACATGCAAAGCTTCAAAAACAACACAGAGTTATTCATCAGTCATTGGAAAACAAGCCCTCACTTGTATAAATAAATGAAACCTATCACATTGTAGAAGAATCTGTAGATGCAATTCAAACATGGACAGAAACATATCGACCCTACAATAAACAATGGGGAATTACGTAGCCAAAATGATGATTGACGCCCTTACCATCAGAGATCTTATAACTCAGCAACTTTCTCTAAGACTACTCAAATTAGGAATTTGTGTGCTATGAGCTTCAGTGGTAGTTAGAACAACAAATTTGTTCTGGAATTTATTAGGCGTAATCTAGCTACTTTTCAAAAATAAGTAGTATTCTCAAAAAACAATAAATGGTATACTGTAACGAAATTTAGTTTATCATACGTCGCATTTTCATAGACTATGAAGTAGGGTTACTTAATCTTTCACAGTTGTAGAAAGAAAATGAATAGGTCAACCGGTGCTCTTTACATCTGAAGCTAGGGGTTCTGCATTGAGACCTTTATTTGCGAGAATTTTGTGCATATTGCAAATTAGTGAATTGAGCATTGATCAGGTTTTTTTCAAGTGACTTTAAGCAAGTGTTAACCTCATTTCCGTCGTATGCATCTTAAATGCCATCCAGACACCTGCACCCTCAACATCTGCCTGAAAACTTGTAATACTCCTCATTTTCTCTGATATTTAATAAATAACTACCAATCAAAGAGTCAGGAAATCCTTCGTCATTCTAACAACTGAGCCAAATATATGAGAAAATAAGCAGTCCGACCATTCAAGCTTGTACCTGCTTTCATCATGCATTGATACAATAGTTATTTTATCTCACAATTAATTTCTGAGTATCCACAATCAGATTTAATTATTAACACATTCATTCGAAAGTAGCATAAACTTGTTAGTTTTGATGCAATTTATAGCCTTTTATTAGCACAAAAGCTAAGATTTTTTCATTGAAGCCTATCTTATCTGATATTTGCATATAACCTTATGCTGCTTTTATCCGTCCAACACCTTAAACAAATTGGCTTAATACTTTTTGGCCAAAATAATAGAAAAATTGAACAAAATATACAAACCTTAATTCAGATAATGTTCAAACAATTAACAAAATTTTGTCATTTTTTAATAAAACATTTCTTGGGTTCTCTGAATAAGGCAGTATTTTTTAGTTTAACCCTTTCAGAACTTAACACAAGCGTTAGTAATACTAAATTGTAGGGGAAAATTTATCACCACCAAACAATTGAGTAAAGTGTGGGCACTGTAGTAGAGAATAATTCCATTCTGTGTCAAATGAACGATTTAATATGCAGTTTTGCAAATGTTTATCTCAAAAATGTCTGTGGCAGTTGATAGCAATCACTTTTACTCTAAAATCTTCGCCACCCTTGCTTAAAATAAACTGCTAGTTATAATGGTACCCACTGCTGAAGAATCCTCTTATTTGCGGTAAGGTCTAGTTTATCCAACTGACATCACGTGGCAGACATTCACATTTAATTATTTTACCTAAATAAATATTGGTTTCTTTGGACTAAAATTCAAACACTAGTCCAACTCACAAGATAAATTTGTATTTATTTGCTTAAGATAATTTCCCCGGATCCATTACTGCAATAATTTTTCAATAGAAAACGAACAGACTTTCTCAGTCATCTAATAAACCATTAGTCCTATAACTGCATGAAAAACAATTTGAGCCTATAGATTAAAGTACCAGACACAAGGTTTCATGAAGTCAAGAAATGAGCAAGAAAAATAATAAAAGAAAATCTTCAAAGTTCAAGGGCTCACCATTCAAAAATTAACACATGAGAACTAAATTCAGCCAGTTGACAAAACTCACTGGAGTAAAAAATTTTAAATTTGTTACTTGAACAATAACTTTCCTCGCATGCTCAAGATTTTTCTTTCCAATCCTTTTTGAGCCTACATCTTTTTAAGTTCATTGGGATTAAAAAAATGCCGCTAACATCAGTTAAGCCTGTAAAGTTTCAAAATTTGATGACTTAATTAGATAACTTTATCAGTAGCCTTTAAGACGAACCAAAGTACATACTCCTAAGTTGTCAGTTTAATAAGAAGTTACGATGATCAAAACTGTATACATATATTATTAACATGCATAAAGTTTTCCTGAAGAATGTCTATGGTATAAAGATGTTAACTTATAAATAAATGACGGTCATACTAAATTTGACAGCAAACCTGAATCGTGATAGAATACTAATCAATCACCTCTAGAGTTTCGTGAGTAATTTGTTCCTTTCTTTTCAAAATATCTAAAGCAAGACAGGCGTTCATTAGCCTGAAACCAGTGTGGAGATCTTCTGCACTCAGCATGCGGAACAAGATACGGATTTTCAACACCAACGTCAAGTCAGTGCTCCTGTATGGTTCAGAGACTTGGCGCGTCACGAAAGGGATTTCCAATAAACTACAGACATTCATCAACAACTGCTTACGCTCGCTGCTGAAGATCAGATGGCCAGAAAGAATAAGCAACAAGGAGCTCTGGGAACGAACCAACCAAGAACCTATCACCCAACAAATATGCAGGAAGAAGTGGAGATGGATTGGCCATGCACTGAGAAGGCCGACTGAGGACATCACGCGTCAGGCCTGGCCTGGAGTGGAATCCCATGGGAAGCGACGAGTTGGACGTCCGAGGGTGACATGGAGGAGGTCGTGCGAGCAGGAAATGAGAGCTTCTGGGCTGTCGTGGGACAAGGTTCAAAAGATCTCAGAGAACAGAGTGTACTGGAGGCGTGCTACTGAAGCCCTATGTTCCACTAGGAACCCAAGGGACTAATAATAATAATAATATAATTTTCAAAATATCTATTAGTTTTCCCAACGAAATGTATTTGCGAGAAAATTCCCAAGTAACATTAAAAATGGCTATATAAGTATCCAGATTTAAATAATTTCTTTTTATAATCAGTCCCAAGCCCATCCATCACTTAATGAAGACTGGTAATTTACATCACTCACTTTTCTACACTTCTTTATCTGTTTTAATCCCTTCACTTATAGCCTATTCTTACGATAAGTTGACGAGTAAATTACAGTAGTCAAACAGTAAAAATGATCACTCAAATAAACCTCTTCTAATCACATTAGTCAACCCCATCTAAAGCTACGCTTTCCGAGCTAAATATCTAAGAGTAATCATAATGAGTGTCCACTTATTTCAAGGGTTTAGAGCGGATAATTTCCCTAGACAGGATAAGAATAAACGCCTGACAGGAATTCTCAACCCAAAAAGTAATATACAACACCTAGTTTGTTTGTACTCTCCAGGTGGAAGAGGATTAAATCTCAGGACTTTCATACGCATAGTCACCAAAAACTTTATTATTATTACTAAATAATAATAAATAAGTGCGAGTGAAAATTAATTTCTTCCCAAAAATCTCATTCCCATAAGCTATACAACCCAATTCGTATTCAACAAAAGCTTTTGAATGTAAGTGGATTGTGGTTGAGGATTCTGAAAAATGGTTACGCAAAAAGCGGATGCAAACATATATCTTGATTTATATAAGGATTTGTGAACTAACAAGTGTACTCGTAAAGAAGCTGTAATAAGAGTTGGTAACTGATTATACAACCTAAATATCCTCATACTTTTCACGATCTTTGTTTAAAGCAGTACTATGCAGCAAACATCAGCATAAACTTCATCACCATCAATAAATCTTCATGTTTGGATTCATATGACATCTTTAGTTTGTTACAGTGTAAAAACAAATAACGAAAGGGTTTTGTTTTAGTCGCAATTTATTCACTTAATTTTCACTTGACATTTGACGCAAGAAGGAAAAAAAGGTCCAGTTGTGTTCATTTTCTGTTTGTTAATTATTTGTGTTTCTTTAATAGCTATCAATGCACTTAAGAGGCAGCTATTTTCTGTTGAACTGGAAGATACAACTTGAATTCTGGTGGTAGTTCACTTTCTGAATAAAGCCGGTCACAAAAGTAAACTCGGCGTATACGGCAGTTGGCGTGAATCTGAAAATTACAATGCTTGAAGTTATTCTTTATAAAAAACAATAAAACGAATTTACAAAATGTAACGCTTCTATTTCAAAACAAAACCCAGTTGGTTGTATCTTCACACTCACCATCGTTAAGTGGAACCAGAACATGCACCATGTAATTCATAAAAAATTCATCTCCATCTCTGTCAGAGACATAATTGAAAGTGTTTCTGCAATCACCTCATGTAATTTACTAGCCAGTCCTAAGACATGATAAAGAGAAAAAGTTTGGGTGTAGGACTACCAACCCTACTTCACAAAACCAATCTGATCCCTAAAAAAACTTCAAAGCACAGACAAAATATAAAGAAATAAGCTTATGCCTCACTGAAATCGAGGAAACGAAATAACACCGGTAGGTGAAAGGCTTCGGGAAGCCAATTGGCCAGTATGTCTTCTCTTCTCTCGATCAAAGCAAAAGTAAGAATGGGGACATGGGATGTCCAAACAATGTTCGAAGCTGACTGACAAGGCTGCCTAGATTGCAAAAGAGATGAGAAGATATAGCATAGAAGTGCTAGGAATCTTCGAGAGCAGATGGAATGGGAGTGGACTCTACAAACTGTCAACTGGACAGTCAATAATCTACTCCGATATTGTCAACCAGAAGACAACCACGAGCACACTGAGAGAGAGAGAGAGAGACTCTATCGGGATGTCCGCAAGAGCACCGAACACCCCATTCCAATGCAGTGGCAACCAATCTCCTCCAGCATCAACATCATGACAGCAACATTCAAATCGAAAGGAAGCAAAGTCACAATGATACAATGCCACGCTACACACACCTACAAATAATGGAGATGAAGAGAAGAAGGAGGAATTCTACAGACAGCTGCAATCAGTACTAGCTAGACAAGATTCCACCCCAGATGGAGACGTTAAAATTTTGATGGGTGGTGTCACATGAATGCCAAACTGGGAGCGGACAACACTGAAAGAGAACTGATCATGGGTGGAGAGGCACTGAGTGAAATGAATGAGAACGGAGAAGTGTTTGCAGACTTCTGCGCATTCAATGACTTGATGATTGGAGGCAGAGTACACAAACACAAGGATATTGACAAAGCTAGCCACATGGATTTGATTTCACCAGACACCAGGACACACTGGAAATCAGATTGACTTCATTTCAATGTGAGGAGGGTGGAGACACAGTCTACTGGACACAAGATCAGATGGAGAAGAGGAGTAGATGTGGTTTCACACCACTCAGTCAGTATCTAGTGCCAGCAAGCTAACTTGAAAATCAAGTTGAAAGCCTTTGAGGAAACTGGTGATAGACCAGAGTTGAAGTTCGAGTTGAATACTCGGAACAGAAAGTGAGTGAACTGAAGGACGAAACTACAGAGGACAAATGACAACTTCACGTTTGTCATCAGTACGAAATGGGAGACATTGAGCAACATCCCTGAGGAGACCTGCGTCGAGGAACACTGGAAGTCTGTGAAAGTGCCGTAGGGGGGAACCTGCATAACCGTGTAGTGAAGAAGGAAGAAGAAAGAAGACAATGAATGGATCTCGACGGACACATGGAATTTGATAGTGTAGGGAGGGTAAGGTGTTGAAGCAGAAGATGAACCAGTGCAGTGCAAGGATGCACAACGAGAAGAGGAACTGAGTACAATGTATAAAACAGTACACTGGTGGAGGAAGTGAAGGGGAGTAGGGGCAATGACAAAAGACACTTTAACGACAGAGTGTTAAGTGAAGCAGAACAGGCTGCAGGTGGGAGAGACGTGACAACATTAATTCAAATAACCGGGTAACTATCTGGGAAGAGATCAACACAGATGAAACCAATAAAATATGATGAAGGAAATCTAATTACCAAATAAGTGAAACTATGGGCTGACCACTTCGAAAACTTTTGAATCTGCCACCACCAACTACAACACCTTTACTTGTCTAGAAATACTACCAGCAGCCACAGAATTACCAGTGAACGCTAGCCTGAATACCATAGATATACTGAATGTTGGGGAAGCGGCATTATTAAGTGGAATTCTTAAGAAATACTCTGCATTCAGAATTATAGCCGGAACAGGCTGGGTGGCTGCCGGAAGAACAAATCATGTGCGAATCAATTTGCAACACTACGCATCATCATAGGACAGAGCATAGAATGGCAGTCAACTCAACTCTACCTCAACTTCATCGCTTTTGAAAAGTCCTTAGATAGCGCCGGCCAAGAAGTAATTTGGCAGGAAGCTGCTTCAACACTACGGTTTTTAGTTTCACAAACCTTTATCAACCTCATTCAACGGCTATGTGCTTTATGATGCTACATGCCATGTGGTTCACAATGAGATGCTCAGTGATACCTTTGAGGTGAAGACAGGAGTGAGATACGGTTACCTCCTACTATCACCGCTACTGAATCCCTTTTTTCACTATGAAGGCAAGGGACAAATATAATAATAAAATATTGCTATTCACTTTTGAATAAATGTTGTCAAAATTTAGCATCATTTCACTACTGAAGTCATTGACACAATATTTAAAGAAAGTAACCAAATTTTTAACATAGGTATACTGAAAGTAATAATAAAGTTCATGTCTTATAAATTAATTTCAGGTAGACTAAAATGTTTCACATTACTTTATGCTACCTCTATTTAAGTTTCAGTGCACCAGAAAATTTACAGTGTAATGACAGATCAGCATTTAGCAAAACCATTCCAACATATACATAACTAATTGATAACTTTTGATCTTACCAATGCTCTTATAATGAATTTAGCAGCTTTTATAGTAATATGGTGAAATAAAATTCTCTGAAGCAAAGAGTATTCTTTTACACACTCCATTCTTTCTGTTGCACAACGGATGATAAGACACTCAACAATAATACCAAGAAATAAAAAACAGTCGTAGTGTTTTAATTTAGACCGTTAAAATTTATAAATATAGACTTTCTCGATTTAACGAAATGTCTGAATACGAGCACAAAGTATATCCATACATCAAAGATAGCACCCGTTATTGAAAGTAAATTTGCCAAGTCACTAGCTAATGCCTTATTTTTAAAAATGACGTGTCTGAATCATACTGCATTCAAATATGGACATTATGTGATAAATAATCCTGTGAACATATATAAGCGCTGTAAATCGAAAGCAAATAACATTTGCGAAAATTTGATTTTTCTGGTATGCTTAGAAAAAAAAATACGTGTACTTTAAACACTTAAGAATTTTTACAATATCGATTAAAAACAATTTTAATGAAGAGTGTTCTTTTCAATAAATTCTCATGAGATTCTGCAGTTATGAAATGGGGCTGTTCAGCTTAAAACAAGTCAAATTTGAGGTGGATACATTTTCTAAGTGGATTATGAATTAGGGATTGCAAAGAAATAAATTTCCTTTTTTTCTTTTTAAACTCTAATAGTAAAGGAATAAAATACCTCGATAATGAGAAGTATATGTATACAAACGATGACTAAGACATAGTATACACACTTTCCTAACGAAATAAAAATGCAATTTAATCAGATACCTAGGATTTAAATTTAAGTCGGTTTGTCCCAAGATGTGTGTGGAAAAAAGCAGTATGGTGTATTCGTGAAACTCTAATTTTAAACAGGACTTCTGGAAATTTTATCAAAGCAACACGGCTAGCGACAATCCTGAACGTGAACTGATGACGTAGGAGACCTTTTTCTGCAACTACAACTCAAGGGAGGTGTTCCAAGTAGCGTCCTATCATAACGTCTAGTTAGAGCAGTAAATAAAACGTTTTAGTCAGTTCATCTTTCCATACCTTACAGTAATCGGTCAACGTTCAATCCCAGACTAACGGATAGTCTACCTAATCTTAGCTCCTCATCTTGCATATATCAATTTTGCTGTTCTTGGGCAACAAGTTGAACGATTAGGTAAATGAGTTCCCGGATACGAAAATTTACCGGCTTGGCTTGGCTAACGTTAAGTGAAAGTGATGAAAAGTTCCGTCCTGGTGAACCAAGTAAACACAGGGCAGCATATAGGTACTAATAAAGCTTTTAATGTCACACAGTGTCTACCAGAAACGGTACTACTTGTTCTGGCCAACCCTTACTCAACATAGTTGAGGCTGTCACAATAGGATTGATCAAGGCTGAAACTTGCATTCACAAAGAACATGTTCAAGCGTTATTCCTCTCTTCGCCTTCAGTTAACTTAAGGCCACTGTCTTTTATTTTATAATCATATTCTCCATCCTAATATTGGCGATTTCAAAAATAAAAATCGATTTCATTACATTCCCTAGCTCAAATTCTATTCTGAAAATCTATCCGTCCTAAATACGACAGATTTCCTGACAAAGTCAACGTAGAACCTTGCACACAGGTGCATTGACTCAAGTTGCCACACTTCACAGTAGTATACAAAAGAACAGGTGGATAGAAAAAAGATGATATCAATGTAGACGAAGTTGTATGAGAGAATAAACAAACTGAGATATCAAGGAGTGAATACATCTGCGCCACTGGGACCGATTTTCAACCATGTCACCAAATATGGCTTGCTTTACGCCAAACAGTTCTACTTCATAAATGTATAACTTCATGATAATTTATAACAAATAATATTCTTCGTTCAGATTGTTTTTAGGAACATATTATATCAGTTTTGAGTACCAGATAGTTAGAATGGATTAACCACAATGAAATCAAATCCTCATTATTGACAAACATTTCTCAGTAAATTGTTCGGAATATTTGTGTTCACCTAGAACTTAAAACCAAAATCTCCTGTGCACCCACCGAGCACTTTTTCTGTCTTCTGAACGGGATTTGGAAAGATGAAATTTGAAGTAAAGCAGTCGTTCTGTTTACCCTAGTTTTCAATTCAGTAGCCATAAGAGAGGTTAGCTAGTTTCAGGCTACCAATAATATAAACCTTTAGGCATTCTACTGCTTCTTTTTTAAATCGAGATGCCACAAAATAACTCCTGAGAAATAAAAGTGTAATAATATAGTTTAAA